TTGATAAAGTGAAATATACTAGTGCCTAGAAAAAAATGAAGCTATTGGAAGAAAGGCTTAGAGTAGTGGAAGGAATGGATTTTTATGGTTCTATAGATGCAACTGAGCATTGTTTAGTCCCTAATATGGTCATTCCACCTAAATTTAAGGTTCTTGAATTTAAAAAATATGATGACATGAAATGTCTAATGACCCATATCACTATGTACTGTTGAAAGATAGCAACACATGCTCATGGATGAGTAGTTATTAATGCACATATTTCAAGATAACCTTACAAATTTTGCAACTAAATGGTATGTTCAATTAGACATGACTCATATTCGTTTCTGGCAAGAGTTTACAAGAACATTCCTTACACAATATCAGTATGTCAGGGATCTAGCTCTAGATCATTTATCTTTATAAGATATGAAAAAAAAGTAACTGAGAGCTTCAAAAAGTATGCACAAAGATGAAGAGATGTGGCTGCACAAGTCCAACCTCTTCTTATCGAGAAAGAGATAACTATCTTATTTGTGAATACTCTAAAAGTATCGTATTATGAAATGCTGATAGGTAATACAACTAATAACTTTTTAGATATGGTGATATTAGGTGAGATCATTTAAAATGCTATAAAGAATGGTAAGCTCGATACAAGAAAGATAAGTGGAGCAAAAAAAAGTGAAGCTCTAAAAAAAATGAAGCCCAAACAGTAAACTATGTGGAACAACAGTTTAGAGGTTTCATGTCCTACCTTGTACCAGTCTACCAAACCCATTACCCTCTCATAAACAATGTTACATCCATCCATCATCCATACCAACCATACCAGCCATTACAACCACCAGCTTATCCACCTCATTTTCAGCCATCCTTTCGGACACCTATCTACAACCGTCTTGATGCACCCATAAGACCAGAATGGAGACCTAATCCTAATAGTGGTCTGAGGGCTTCAAAAAATACCCAAGAAAAACCCACTTTCAACCCTATTCTTATGACATACACAGATTTGTATCCCTGACTTGTTCAAAAATATTTATTTGCTCCTGTTATTATTGAACCCTTGAAACCTTTATTTCTCAAATGGTATGACCTTAATGCATACTGTGATTATCACTATGGAAATTCAAGTCTTTTTAATAAGAACTATATTGCTTTAAAGCATAAAGTGTAGGGTTTAATCAATGAAAGGGTGTTACACTTTGATACCAACCAACAAGGGACTCTAAATGTTAATGAAAACCCTCTATCGAACCATACCAGACCATCAATAAATACCTTAATTGATGGGTAAAGAAGTCACGTGAAAGAAAAAATAAATGAAGTTAAGACTCTGATGGCTAAGGTGTTTGAATTCTTGATTAAAGCTGACATATTGAAGTCAATAGATCTTCAGAATTGCTTTAAAATGATTAACTCAACTGAGAGCTATAATTATCACAGAGGTGTTTTGGGACATTCTATCGAGAATTATCACCAATTTTGTCAAGAAGTGTAAAAGTTGATGGATATGGGCCAAATAGAGTTTTACGAAAAAAAAAAGTTAGTGAAAGCTGAAGTGTCTACTATTGATTCAAAGAATAAGTTTGTGCGTAGACCAGTAACAATTTATTATGATGAGAAATCAACACCGAGGCTAGAAAAACCCATTTCCCAACCAATAGTGACAATTAAAGTTTTTGGCCCTTTTTTATATCAGAATGATAAAGTAGTATCATGAAAGTACGATTGTGATATCGTAGTCAACCTAGATACTACGAACATAACGGACGTAAGAGGTATGACTCAAAGTGAGAGATGTTATACCCAAATACTTTAAAAAAAGCTAAAAAAAGAAAGCTAAGATAAGAGAAAAAAGAAAAGTCAGAGTAATCCCGTCATAGCCCCAGAAAAATAATGTCAGAAGTTAATCTCTGAAAGTGAAGCATATGAATTTTTAAAGTTAATAAAACATAGCCAGTATAATGTAGTAGAACAGCTTAATAAGATACCAGCTAGAATTTTACTATTATCATTATTGCTAAACTCAGAGTCATACCATAATGCTTTACTAAAAGTGCTTAATCAAGCATATGTGTTTCATAATACTTTTGTTGAATATGAGGAACAGCTTGTTGGTAATCTGATAGTTTCAAACTATATCTCCTTCAATGATTAAGAGATTTTTCTTGAAGATCGAGAAAGTACCAAAGTTTTTCACATTATTGTAAAGTGTAAGAGTCATATAATGGCTAAAGTTTTAATCGATAATGGCTCATTCATCAATGTTATGCCTATGATTACTTTGACAAAACTCTATGTTGATGGATCTTATATAAAGCCTAGTCATATGATAGTGAAAGCCTTTGATGAAACTCGAAGAGAGGTATTGAGAGACATAAAAATACCATTACAGATTGGCCTATGTACTTTTAATGTGAAATTTTAAGTTATGAACATCTCTCTTTCATACGGTTATTTATTGGGTAGGTCGTGAATCCATATGGCATGTGCTGTTCTATCTTTATTACATCAAAAAGTCAAATTCATTGTTAAAAAAAAACTAACATGTGTGACAAGAGAAAAAAATTTATTAGTAACTCAATCGATAACTACTCCTTATGTGAAATTAGTAGATAAAGCACTAGAATGCTCTTATAGATCTTTTAAGATTGCCAATGAACATATGTGGCTGACAGATCTAAATTGTATTTGTCACACTTGTCTACGACAATTAAAATGATAGTCAAACAACTTATCAAGATGGGATGGTGACCTAAAGTCGAACTTAAGAAGAATCTGTAAGGAATTACGAAGCCATCGACCTTATATGAGAAGAGAGATAGTTCAACTTGGGATATAAACCAACAAGAGGGGACAGAATGAAAATGATGAATGAGAAAAAATATAAGAGGATAGCTAATCTTGAGGGATATGAGTCGGAGTCAGAGTCTATAGTCATTCCATACCTCTATGATTTTTTTTGTTCGAGAAGATATATTTATCCAAATTTACTTGGAACCCAAAGTACAAGATTTGTGAAAGAATTTTCAGAGCTGGCCATTCAAATGATGGATGATAGAGAAAAGAAGAGTTGAAATAAAGAGCTATCCGTGTACCCTTATCCTCTAGATTTTAAACTAGATAATTAGAAAGTTATAGAACTGTCTATTGTCTTTAAAATTTTAAAAAAGTAATGTACTGTGAAACTTTAATAAAAAGCTTAGAAAATGCGTCTACATTTCTCTTATGCACTTTCACTTTTATTCATTCGAATCATTTCCCTTTTTGCCTTAATCATTTTTTTACCATTTCATTTTTTTTGTACCAATGTTCTCTTCATTTTACCATTTGCAGGGTCTCAAATAATGAACACGAGGATAATTATGAGAATAATCTCGGATTTAATTTTGAAAACTTAATTCATATTGATGAACTTGATAATGAAAAAGATTCAGATAATTACACACTGCATCTTGTTTTGTTAAAATTAATAAAACATGAAGATAAGCCAATTGAACCCTACTAAAAAATTACTGAATTAGTGAATTTGGAGGAAGATGAAAATAAAAGAGAAGTCAAAGTTGATACATTTTTTTTACCGACTGAAAGGCAGAAGCTAGAAGAGCTACTTCAAGAATATATAAATGTGTTTGCATGATCTTACTAGGATATGCCAGAACTCAACACTAATATTGTAGAGCATAAGTTACTTTTGAAACCTGAATGTAAGCCAATGTAGCAAAAGCTAAGACGCATAAAGCCGGAGATGCTACTAAAAACTAAGAAGAAAGTAAAAAAATAATTTGATACAAAATTTTTGAAGGTGGTAAAATATCCTGAATGAGTAGCCAACATAGTGCTAGTTCTCAAGAAAGATGAAAAAATAAGAATGTACGTAAACTATCGAGATCTGAATAAGGCAAGTCCTAAAGATAATTTTTTTCTGCCCTATATCGATACTCTAGTGGATAATACTGTTAGGCACTCCATATTTTCTTTTATGGATGGTTTCTCAGGTTATAATCAGATCAAGATGGCTCAAGATGATATGGAAAAAATCATATTTGTGACTATGTGAGGGACATTCTGTTACAAAGTCATACCTTTTGGGTTAAAAAATGCTGGTGCCACTTATCAAAGAGCAATGATGACTCTCTTTCATGATATAATGCATAAAGAAATAGAAGTGTATGTGAATGATATGATAGTAAAATCTCATAAAAAAGATCGTGTAGTTAATCTTAAAAGGCTATTTGATAGGTTGAAAGAATTTCAGTTGAAATTGAATCCTACCAAATATACATTTGGTGCTAAATCAGAGAAATTATTAGGTTTTATGATCAGTAAAAGAGGAATCGAAGTTGATCCAGATAAGATACAGGCTATTCAAAATTTATCCTCTTTTCGTACCTTAAAAAAGGTACAAAGCTTTATGGAAAGATTGAATTATATTGCTTGTTTAATCTCTCAACTCACTTACAAGTGCAATTTCATTTTTAAGCTTATTAGAAAATATGATCCAGGAGAATGGAATGACAAATGTCAAAAAGCTTTTGACAAAATCAAAGAATACTTATTGAATCTACCCGTGTTGGTGCCACCCGTTCCAGAGAAACCTTTGATTTTAACTTAATAGTGCACGAAAATTCAATGGAGTGTGTTGGGGCAAATAGATGAAACCAACAAGAAAGAACAAGCAATCTACTATTTGAATAAAAAATTCATTGATTATGAGTCCAAGTATTCACTATTAGAGAAAATGTGTTATGCATTGGCCTGGACAGCTCGAAGGCTCCAACAATACATGCTTTATCATACCACTTGGCTCATAGGAAAGTTGGATCCTATATATCTTCGAGAAGCTTTCATTGACAGGGAGAATAACACAGTGGTAAGTTATACTTTCAGAGTATGATATTGTTTATGTGACTCAAAAAGCTATTAAAAAGAGTGCAATAGCCTAATTCCTTATTAATCGTACAGTCGAAGATTATGAGCCAATGAAATTAGATTTTTTTTATGAAGATGTGATGGCCATTGAAGAAAACAAACCTATTGTAAAGTCTTGGAGAATATATTTTGATGGAGCTGTTAACGCTTTAGGCCATGATATTGGAGTAATTTTGATATCTCTTGATGGGTACTATTACCCTATCACAATCAGGTTAAATTTTAATTGCACAAATAATGTGATAGAATATGAAGCTTGTGTTATGGGTTTGCAAGCAGCAATTCAAAAAAAGATTAAAGTGTTAGATGTGTTTAGAGATTCAGCTCCAGTCATTTATCAGTTACGAGGTAAATGAGAGATGAAAGATTTCAAGTTGATTCGGTATCATAAATACATCTCTGAATTAATCAAGTAATTTGAAAAAATTCAATTTGAGCATCTACCTAGAGAGAAAAATCAAATTGCTAATGCACTAGCTACTATAGCTGCAGTGATCAAAATATATGCAAATACTGAAATCCAACCCATCAAGCTGGATGTGAAGGATGTACCGACACATTGCTCAGGTGTTGAAGAAAAGTTGATGGGAGGCCATGGTATCATGATATTATGCAATATATTAAAAGTCAACAATACCCGGAGTATACGATAGAAAATGATAAAAGGATTATCAAAAGGTTGGCTATGAGTTTTTTTTTATGGAGATATCTTTTACAAAAGGAATCGAGATCAAGTACTCTTAAAATGTGTAAATACAACTGAAGTAAAGAGAATTATTGAAGAAGTACATGATGAAGTCTGTGAGGCATATGCAAATGGTCATATGATGACTAGATAAATCATGAGAGCTGGCTATTATTGGTTGACAATGAAGGGTGACTGTATTAATTATGCTAGGAGATGCCATAAGTGTTGAATTTATGCTGACAAGATTCACGCTTCACCATCAGCATTGCACGTTCTGGCTCCTTCATGGCCATTCTCTATATAAAGCATGGATGTCATTGGTCCAATCACCCTAAAAGCTTCAAATGGACCTAGATTTATCTTTGTAATGATTGATTACTTTACCAAATGGGTAAAAGTCGCATCGTATGCTAGTGTGACCCGATCTATAGTATGTAAATTCCTAAAAAAAAAAGATAGTATGCAGATATGGGCTTCAAGAGATAATTATTTTTGATAATGCCAAAAATTTAAATAGCAAAATGATGAATGAAGTATGCACTCAATTTAAGATCTATCATCGTAATTGCGTATCGTATCGTCCAAAAATGAATGAGGCTATGGAGGCTGCGAACAAGAATATCAAAAGAATCTTGAAAAAAATGATTGATACTCACAAAGATTGGCATGAAAAGTTATCTTTTGCTTTGCATGCTTATAGAACATCAGTTCGAACATCTACTGGGGCCATTTCATTTTTTTTGGTATATGGAATGAAAGCTATGTTACTAATCAAAGTGAAAATTCTCTCACTAAAAGTCCTAATGGAGGTAGAGTTAGAGGAAGCAGAATGGGTTCGAAATCGCTACGAACAATTAAACTTTATTAAAGAGAAAAAACTTATAGCACTTTGTCATGGTCAATTATATCAAAAGAGGATTATGAAAGCATATGATAAGAAAATTTACCTTCGTCACTTTAAGGAAGGAGATTTAGTGTTGAAAATGATCCTTCCAAATCAACATGACAATCGAGAGAAATGGACACCAAATTGAAAGGTCTCGTATATAGTGAAAATGGTATTTTTTGGTGGGACATTGATTTTGGCAGAAATAGACAGAAGTGATTTATCTATTCCGATAAATTCAGATGCTATAAAGAAATATTTTGCTTGAAAAAAAAGAGTGAAAAAAATAAATGAAAAAATGATGGCTTATCTAAGCTGAAAACTTGAAAAAATGACATAGATGTGAAGGGGAAGCATCATTGAGAGATGACCTTGCAAAAAAGGCAAGTGTAGTTTGATGAGTTCTGAAGAATCAAGAAAGTCATCTGATTTAATTTTAAAAAAAGAATATGAGAATATTTTGTTCATGATTATCTTGTGATCACTATTTAAGCACTTTTGTTTCAACTTGAACACTTTTGTTTCCATGCACTTATTATCAGTCTAATGAAATATGCTAGCTCTTTTTTGGAAATAATGCCTATCCATTCTATTACCTCATTTGATATCTTTATTCGCTTTATAAATGAATGAGAGAAATGTGTGATTGCATTTTGTTTGTTTTGAACTTAAAATGATGAAAAAATAAACACGAAAGATCTTAGTATTACTTTTTAAAAGTTGACAAAGACAGATGAAAGAAAATGAGAAAAGCATTGATGTTGCAAACTTTTGAAGAAAAAATATTATTGGAGAAGAATACAATGGACAGCTATTAAGAATGGATTGGTTATAAGGCAATTGTTGAAAAGTTTGATAAAAAAAAAGGGGGGCAAAAAGTGAGAGATGTTGAGAACCTTTTTACTGTAATGAATAATTTTGATTGCATTACATGCATTGCATTTAGAGCACTCAGTACACGCATCCATGAACAGTTATAATGAAGACAGAAACTTTTCATTTCTTAATGAAAAATAATATTTTGATATTCGGATGAAGACAATGATCTAACAAGAGATGTCAAAAGACAGAAATTTGCTAGTTTAAAGATGAAAAATCAATTTTAAAAAAAGATGAAAATTTAAAGTTATTGAACCTCTATTTAGAGAAGCTTTTTGAAGATGAATTTTTAAAGTTATTAAGCTTCTACTTAAAGAAGCCTTTTTCAAGATAAAATTTTAAAGTTATTGAACTTCTGCTGAGAGGAGCATTTTCAAGAATTTTTAAAGTTGTTGAGCCTCTACTGAGAGGAGTTTTTTCAAGATGAGATTTTTAAAGTTGCGAAACCTCTACTTAGAGGAGCTTTTTCTCAAAATGATATTTTAAAATTATTGAGCTTCTGCTTAAAGGAGCTTTTCTAAGATGAAAATTTTAAAATTGTTGAGCCTCTGCTTATAGGAGCTTTTTCAAGATAAAATTTTAAAATTGTTGAGCCTCTGCTGAGAGGAGCTTTTTTAAGATAAATTTTTTAAGTTGTTGAGCCTCTGTTGAGATGAGCATTTTGAAAAATTTTTAAAATTATGGAGCCTCTGCTTAGAGGAGCTTTTTCAAGATGAATTTTTAAAGTTGTTGAGCCTTTGCTAAGATGAGTATTTTTAAGATAAATTTTTAAAGTTGTTGAGCCTATGCTTAGAAGAGCTTTCCCAAGATGATGAATTTTAAAGTTGTTGAGCCTTTAATTAGAGGAGCTTTCTAATTTTTTTTAAAAATAAGGTTTTATGCCCAATGTTTCCTCTTTTTTCAAATAAAATGGTTGTTTGTTTGTCTTTACTTTATTTTTTATTCTCAAAAATAGACAAAGAGGGGCAGCTGTTGACACCATTTTATTTATTTATTTATTTTTTTTTCTTTTCTTTTTTTTTCTTTTTTCTTCTTTCTACCAGCTTTTTTGTCGGTCACAAGTAGTCGTACTACCAACCGCCTGCAAGCCACCCCAGCCCTGATAGCCGATGGCCACCATAATACTAGGCCACCAAAATCTTAGATTTGGTCTTCTTTTTACTCTATAAATGAGCAATGAAACCGATAAAAAAAAGATAGAAAAGCCCAGAGACCCTACAAAAAAAATAGATAAAAAAAAGATATTGCCAGGTTTAAAAAAAAACTTCCTGCAAAAAAAATTGAGCACCAAAACACAAACAAAATCACAGTCCCTGGAACGGGAACCATAGCGTCAGTCTATAAAAAAAAAAAAAAATCACTTTAGTCGAATCTTTCAGGCCAGATTTATGCGGTTCAAGGCTCCATTTTGAGAAACTAAACTCGGATTCGTGTTTAGGGGGTGAAGAGAAAATTCTGGGAAATTTAAAATTTTGTAATGATCGAGAGACGACGACAGGCGACCACCGACGATGATCGGTGAGACAGAGTAGTCGTTGGATTCTGGGTTTTAGAGAGAAAAAAAGAGAGTGTCTGAGAGAAAGAGAGAAAAAAAAAGACTGAAAAAAAAAGCTAATTCGACCTTTAAATAGTCGTTCAAAACGATGCCGTTTAGGAAGATAGCAAAACGACACCATTTCAATCCCAGAAGATCCACACGTCGACTTGCAACCCGACTCGGGATCCATGCACTTGACTTGACAACTCGTTCTCCCTTTTGCCTCTCGATCGGTCCAGTTGAGTCGGTCCAGACTGGATGAAACCGACGTCGAACTGCTGAACCCGAACCAACCGGATCAGACCAGATCGAACCGTTGAACTGGCCCAGACCGTGTTAACCGGACCATTGAACTGTTCGGGTCATGTAAAAAAAATTTTGAATTTTTTTAATATTATTTTTTATTTTAAAATTTATTATTAATATTTATGCATATAAAAATGTTTAAATTTACCAAAATAAATTTTTATTGTTTTATAATAATTATTATTAATAATAAATAATAAAATTTATAATAAAAGTTTTTGATAAATATAATTAAATAAAAATAATAAAAAATTAATAAAAAATAAGAAAAAAAATTTTATCCGATGATGAGATTCAAAAGTACTCCAAGTAGTGATACTTACGAAATCTCTAGGTGATAAGATTTTTTTTAAATACTACTAGTGTATTGGAATATTTATAAAAAAATTTTAATACAATAAAAAAAATTTTCTTTAATAAAATAATAAAATTAATTAATAATAATAACAAAATAGTAATAAAAATAAGAAAAAAGAAAATTTTATCCGATGATAGGATTCTAAAAATATTTCGAGTAGAAATGCTTTAAGAAATCTCTAGGTGAGAAGATTTTTTAAAATATTACCAGTGTATTGAAATATTTATAAAAAATCTTCAATATAATAAAATTTTCATTTTCTTCAAAGTTTTAAATGAAAAATTAACAAAAATTAATAAAATTTCTAAATAAAAAATAAAATGTGTGTATTAACGTATTATCATTTGTATTGCATGCATTACATAGTTCTTTTGCGAAAAATAAATTTGAGCCTCCGAAGATGAGATTCTAAAGTATTCCGAAAAGCGATGCCTAAAAAATCTCTAGGTTAGAAAAAATTCTTTTAATGTTATCAACGTACTGTAATATTTTAAGAATTATTTCAATAAAAAGGTTCTAATTTATTTTTCTTAAATAAAATGAAACAATCAATAAAAAATCAAAAAAATTATTTTTCAAACACCGAAAATAAGACTGTTTTTATTAAAATAATATGATAACACATAGTTAAGTGGTACTATTTCTAAACGGGCATTGTAAGGGTGCTAATTCTTCCCCACACATAATCGACTCCCGAACCCAGACTGTTTCGTAAATCATAAAATTATCTTTTTAATAAATTTTAATTAATTTTATTAAAATGATAAATTTTAATAGGTGGTCAATCACACATAGTCAAAAAGATTGGTGACGACTCCATTATATTTTTATTTTATTTTCAAATTCGTCGGAAGGACACAAAATCGTTAGGACAATATATTTATATATAATTTATTCTAATCGAGCTAGATCGAGCTTGAATTTTAATTTTTTTATCTAAAATTTGATCTGAAATTTAAACAGATTTAATAATTATAACTAAACTCATTTAATAAATTTTAATTTTTTATCTAAATCTTATTAAAACTTAAATAAATCATCAAACTTAATCGAATAGCCTAATCCTTATACCATCTACTTATTAGATAAAGCAAAATTTAACTTGCATTACTCCAAATTAAAGTGCACTTATGACAAAAAGCTCATATACCAATTAATGCATTTTTTACGAGATCTACCAATAAA